AGTGACCCTCTGCCCCCATGTGCTAGACAGACAGACAGACACACACACACACACACACACACACACACACTTACTTATTTACCCTTTTCGACAATCCCAACGGAAAGGGCCCGAATCCAAGCCTCGATATGTCCGATGTAGTTTTTTGTGGTCGTGGCCCGTGGATTGCCTTGCCGGAATGGATTTTAGTTGGCCGTGGATGCCTGAATCGGCACACTTGGCTCCGAAATTGGTACGACCGGGTCCACTACCCGCAGGCTGCCGCTGTGCGGTGAAGAAGATCTCGCGGAACAGACCACGGACTTGGCTCACAAAACCCATAGGTTTCGCAAGTGTGTGCGGTTGGTCCATGGATTCAAGCAGGCAGGTTGGAAGATGTCCATGTTCAACTAGTAAGCAGCACGAACGAGGTCGACATCGAACATTGTAAGAACGAAGCGACACGTAGGAGGATACATGCTAAGTAGACTCACCAGTTCAATTTGCAAATTTTGGCCGCACTCACCCATGGACGTCAGAAAGGAGGATAAGGAGGCAGGCTGTTCACAGCAGGCTGTAACATAATACTCGCGTTTAGGCTAACGAGAGCTTGTCAAGGATGCTCTTGACGACCCGTCCGACACCGAGACTAACATGCAGCGGTTACAGTGGGTACGTATTAGTGCCTACAAGTTGCCGTGAGACGGAGACGCATGTTCGAGGCAGTGGGTCCGCGCAGACACGCCGTTGATGGATATCATTTCCATTCTGACTGTAAAGCGCCAGCCCCCTGCTGCCATTGCAAGCCGCAGGAGCTGCTCATCCAACTTGTAGAGGGCAAGCTGTCAGGACCTTAATCCGAGTTGGCCTTGCTTGGTATTCTGTTGCCACATGCCACGAAGGAACTATCTGGTGGCCAAGGATGTATGGATTCTCAGCTTAGCATGATCCAGGTGACGCTGTTGATTTTAGATGGGAGCGGAGATGTCGCAAAGCCTTTTGCGAGGTCGGCGGAACTGCCATGGGTGCTTGCCACAGCTCCCACATGTTGCTGTTCGTGTGTATCTTCCATGGGATGAATTGCAATGGGACGATTTGGTCTTCGGACTTGATATGAAAACATGGCTGCATGCTCATTCCGATGTCCACCCTCCGTGCACATTGTTACTTGGAGTTTGACATCGTAGCTTGCGTAGTCATGTTCGGCAGCACCTCTTCAGCTCGACGGACAGGGTGAATAATGTAGAGGAAGAAAACTTTCAAAGATGCTGCCTGAGCAATGGAATTGCCAAGTGGCGGTGCGCGTTGATCGAGGCCAAGAGCCCATTCACTTGCCCCGTCCACATCAGCAGATCCAGAATAGCAGACAGACAGAACGGTGCCGAAGCACGAGTTCTGCAGGTTGGAAGATTTGGAAGTGACTACAAACGGATCCAGTCTGTAGAGCTCAGTGTCACAACGGCGCGAACTGGGTTTCGGCTCAGAGTTTGCAGAGTAGAAGCGCCCCAGCGGCCCGAAACGAGGGCATGTCTGGAGAGGATGCGAATCCTCTCAACAGACGATTGCCTGCAGAGGTTGTCACGAGACAAAAACGAGGCTCGGCTGCATCCACGCGGCACTGAGCAGGGCGAAAGCAGATTTCTCATTCATGGCCCGAGGGACACAGATCATCGCACACCTGCTCGAAGCGGAAACATCTAATGTAGCACGACGGGGAGATGTCCAGGAGCAGCCATGCTTTCAATTTAATGTGACGTTGGACGTTGGCAGATTTTTCGGTACGAATTTTTGATACCACAGCACAAGGGACTGCGGAAAAGTAGCGGATGCCGAATGTCTTGACCTGGCCATGAATCACAAATGATCGACATCCATGCGGCTTCTGTCATGCCAGTGCTGCTTGCTGCCGATCCTCCATCTGTGCTTCATAACCTTGTGCAAAGCGTGGTGTTGTCGGGCTCAGCAGCACCGTCGTTGACAGGTGGTGACAATACCTTGGCAAAGAAGTTCTGTTGTATTTATTTTCTTTATTTCGAAGTTGTGAAAGCTCGGATGCCATCACTTGGTTGTTTCATTGTTTGTTAACAGGTTTTCTTTCTTTCTTTCTTTCATTCTTTCAATTTCCATCAACATTACAATTCTATCCCTTAAACCTAGGGCGGAGGAGCAGAGCGGTCGGGCTGTTTTCCTTAGCAGTGCTTGTGAGTGCTTTGTGGTGCGGCAGATTTGGAAGCCAGAGCCAAGGAGAAGTTAAGAAGATCGTGGAAAATGTCGACGATGCCCTTCGGCTGTAAAACGTCCGTGTCGGCTGGCGCAACATGGGCATCGACTTCCTTTGGGCAGACCGCTAAGTCTTTACGTAGAGTGTTCGCAATGACAGCACTCCTGCTCGATGTCTGGAGCCTTTTTCGCCAGCCCTCGCATTATTTTCCGTCCCATTAATATAGCTTTCCGACGCGTTTGCCAGGAATACTTTGCCAGTCGGGTTGTTCACAAAGCATTCCAAAACGAAGATGTCGAAAACAACCACGGCCTGCACCTTGAGCCCCAATTGGGAGTGGGCGTGTGTGGGCGCGCGCAGGTGGGCGTGGGTGGGGGTGTGAGTGCTGGGGTGTGGGTGGGAGTGTGGGAGTGTTTGTGGGTGCGAGTGGTTCCTTACTGCACATCCAAAAAAGCTAAATGGCCACATTTTGCCAAAGAATAGGATTCTGTGCACTGGAGTCCCCGAAACTGCCACATGTTGATGAACCGCAGCCAAGGGGAAGGATTTAAATCCATTTGGCATGTGCTCCGTGTGACATATTTCGGAAGCCAGGTGCAAGTTGACCTGAAGACTGCCTTAGGGCTGAAGCCGGAAGCCCGGCTTAAATGGCTCAGCAAGGCACGGCCACCACGTGAGGAGCAGCAGACGCGAATTGTGATTGTCTTGTGCAGGCTCTCAAGATGGTCGAAGACAGACGGGCAAATTCCACTGAGCTTTACGACATAGCCACACGGAGCCAAACTTTCCGTGCAGCCGGTGTTTTTGCAGCCTTTGCAGCCAAGGTATCCAATCGAAAGTTTTGTGCGACAATGCCGACTAGAAACAGCCAAAAGCTTCGCGGAGCCGTGTTTGATTTTCATGAATTTAATGTCATGGATCCGTGGTAGAGTCAAGTCGGGAGCTCGATGCTGGCCACTGAGGAGTTATTCTGGACAACATCTCCATTTTTTCGGAGAAGCAGCGTCGATTTCTGCGGTCAGATGAGTGGGCTCCCAACAAGCTATTTGAAGCTGAGGATGATGACGTGGCCACCGGAGTGAAGAGTGTAGAAGAGGATCCGAAGCCCAGCCCGGATGTTAAGCCGGAAGAAGCGAAGGCAGATGCTGACAAAGATGCTCAAGGCGGCTGGACTTTCACCATCCGCGAACGACCGATGCCAGATCACGCCACTGGCAAGAAGAGGCGGAAAGGTGCCGAGGATTCTGAGGCCACTTCTTGTATTTTCAGGCTTCGCTTTGCAAGTTCTGGTTCGGTAGTGAGACGCAGAATGAAGAGCCTTTCGCAGGCCCGCTTCGAGGCGATGGCCGAAAAAAACGAGGCCTCGCAGAAGAAGCAGGAGGAAGATGTTGATAGTTCTCTTGCTCTGCTGGAGCGTCTCAACCAGCAAAATCAAACTCCCCATGTGGTGCGTGAGAGGCGGGGGTTTCGCAAAGCTTGCTGAGTGTGCAAACCACCGAGTACACAAGCGACAATTCCGCACGAGGACGAGGCGAGAGCGCACACCCAAAAAGAAGCGCCACCTGAGCCGATCAAGATCTATATCGGCTGCTTCAGTCACCTCAAGTAGCCACCGCGGCAAGAAGGGACGCACAAAGAAGAGGCCGGATTTGGAAAGACAGCCGTTTTTTTGCGGAATCGGTTGCCTTCCTGCTAGCTCTAGCATGCCACGTTTGCTGGACGGAACCCTAGGAAAGGGCGCAGCAGAAGTCGGGATCGAGCCGGAGGAGCAGGAGGAGGAGGAGGTGCGGGCGGAGGTGGGATGAGCTTTGAGGAAGCATTACGGCGTCGAATGCAGCAGCGCGATTCTGAGATGGAAACCTCAAGGCCGGCTCGAGTCTGAAAGCATGCGCTGCTGGTCGCATGGCTGTGCATGACCTGCCCTGACAGGATGCCAGTGGTTGACCCCGGGCATGCCAAAAAGAATTGGAGATGATTTGCATCGCTGTCACTGGTGCTAATTGTTTTCACTCATTCGGGAGGAAGAGCCGTTATTCGGTGTCTGAAAAGCTTAGCTCGCGGTGACATCGGAGCAGTACAAGAGCAATGGAAGTTATCTGACGATCTCAGTATAGTAGACAGAACCTGGCATTTTGGGAGATTGTAGTGAGCACTGTCGCAGAGCAAGTCTTTTCTTCGAGTCCCTGCTCCAATGGATCGATACCAGACTGCATGTGCGAGATTGCAATGGGCCCGGAATTAGAGCCCATCGTAATCGCTCAGATCGCTCCTTGACGAGATCAAAGCCCTGAATCCCGGTGCCTTGTAAAACGGCATCGCAGATGCTGGCATGAATTGCGGGCTTGTGCATGATGGAAGAGCACTGCATGGGTTGTTGTCTAACACTTGTCTAATCTAAGCAAACGTGGTGCTACGTAAATTGTGAGTCGATGCGGCGAAGTCTTTCGGTGTGTGTGTGTGTGTGTGCGTGCTATTTGCGCGAGGTTTCTGCATGACCAACCGGCTGCATTTGGGCTCCAACGTTTGTTGCAGCCACGAGCCGGACGAGCCGCAGACAGCTGAAGTTGTTATTTGCGATTTGCATCCAGCATGACCCGCTTTCGCAACGCTACATTGCTAGCTACTAGTGACTAGCGCCACTTCGTAACGAGTTTGGATTTGTCAGAGCACTTCAATGCAGGATGCCTTTAGATTTTTGCAAGCGAACAGGCAAGCAAGCCAGCAATGCCCAACGTGAAGATATGTGGACTACCGTGAGCTGGCTTCAATGTTGGCATTCCTTGAACTGTTTGCCTAAGTGATTCTTCCAGAATTCTGTCGTGTCATGAACAGCGTGTGTAAGCCTCTGGCCAGGGATGTCATGCTGATGTGAGCCAAGAGGGTCGAACACAGGCTTTGTGCCATGCCTCACTGAGGCTGCATGTCAGACTTAGCATCAGTTCTTAAACCATGCTACGCTGCAAGACAGCAGTTTGAAGCCCAGTTGCTCCCTTCGGCAACGATTGGACAGGAGTGATGGGCCATGCTGGGCGGATAGCCCAGGCATATGACTTTCGAATACCGAGCAGCCAGGTTCTCCGATGGAGCATGGCAATGGTCAAGCCAACATACACCTCTGAAAGAGGATCACGATTGGGGCAGGGCCGGCATGAAGTCAGGCAGACGAAAGTGAATCAGGGCAGGTGAACAATGCTCGGAATAATTGTCGAAAGAAGAGGGAAACGATGCTATGCGCTTCTCATAGGCTTGGCGAAGGTTTTTTCATGGTGCGGTGATGTTGATGTGATGCTTTTGTTATGATGTCGATGTGAGGTTGTCGCTCTCAGGTTGTCGTGGGGCTTCATGACATGACGAGAGGTTTTCCAGAGGTTGGCCCTTAGGTTTTCGTGAGGTTGGTCGGCCCTTTTGTTTTTGTAAGGTTGCCGCCTATCTCTTGAATCTAAGTCAATATCTAGTAGCGCACATGGCAGGGCTAGCGGGAGTCCTTGAACATCGTGAACTGGTGCTGCACGTTTGGTGGCGTCACGATTCGTCCTCCTTTCCGGTACCAGCGTGTTCGGTCACGCTGGAAAATGACGCCGTGTGTGTGGTGCCGTGAAGATTCGTGTTCCAAATAGGCAACCTGCTCGGTGACTCCAGCTTCGCATTGTTCGGTGAAGGCGGTTTGTAGAACGGCTTACTTAACATGAGGATTTCTGGAAAAGCCTGTAGGGAAGAGCTTATAGAAAGGTTGAGAGTACGCCAGAAGCTGTTGTGGGCAAACCTGCCCAAAAGTTTGGCAAAAAACCGTCACATGTTCCGTGCTACTGCTTGCCTGTGCCGAAGGAGAGCTTATACGGGCTTCTATGCCTAAAAAGGAAAAGAGGGAAGAGCGGGGAATAGATTGGTTTACCGACTGGTTTAGGGAAGGATTCATGAAGGAAGTTGTAGATGATTATAGAAAGGTTGCTAGAAGGGTGAATAGAGGAGTTTGCGACGGATGGACGGATGGCTGGTTGGCTGGCTGGAGATGGAGGGATGGATGGATGTGTAGGTGAGTGTATGAATGGACGGATGCATGGATGGATGGATGAACGAATTAATGGATGGACGGATGGAGAAAAGCGGATGGATGGATGAGAAAATCGCTGCATCTTTGGATGCATACTGCATGCGATCTTTGCAGTGCGGCATGCGGGGAGGGGGAGGCATTGATTGGCGTTGCCTTCCCTTCCCAAAGAAGACCACAGAGGGAGAGAGATAAGTGAAGATAGCCTTTCAGAAGGGGCGTATGCTCTCAATGTGCATTCACAATGTCGTTTTGTATGTGATGAGGGACATGAGGAGGGTTGGCTTCAGGAAATTGCCGAAAGAAGCCGCCAAGAGACTGGAGCTGCTCCGCCGGGGTGGTCGCCAGACGCTCGAGCGGGAGATGTATGAGGTCTACACAGACATGCTGAAGAGGAACGAAGACATCGGCATGTCCGAGATGGACTTGCAGGGGCCAACCAGCTTTCACACGAAGATGGACACAATCCGGCCTCAGGTGCAGCAACTTCTCAGAAGCAACCGTCGATCTCGTCTCATGGGTTGAACTGTAGGTATCAGGGCTTTCCGACATTAAATTGTCAAGTCTTTAGTTTTGCCCATCAGGTGGAGCAGCAGTATCACACTGCCAACAAGCGACTGGCAATTGCCAAGCGCATAGCTGGTTCAAGCAAGCAGCCGGATGAACTCCTCAAGTCCAAGGAACTTCTCAAATCCGAGTTGGAAGCGGTGGAGGAAGCTCAATATGCTGCCAGAGCGTACACCCTGATGGTGCAGTTGTTTGCGAAGGTGATTGACAGAGTTAGCAATGCAGTTGCCGAGAGGGAGGCGCAGAAGAGTATAAGGCCCGAGTTCGTCAGTTCCATTGGCTGTCAGTGCCACGGCTTAACAGCACGATATTTTCTCTGATGTGCCCTTTCTGGCGCAAAATCTCTAGTAGTGGCATTTGAGCAGTTTGCCCTTACCGCGAAACGGCATGTGATGGCTTTTCGACCGGCGTGCCTGGACCCGGAAGAGCGTGTTGTCGGGGATGCTGAAAATGTTCCTTGCAGGTTCCATCAATTCCGAGAACTGAGAGTGGACGTCAAGTCCCCAAATGTGCAACACACAGCCTTAAAGAGGAACTGCTAGAAGCCGGCGGGAATCACAGCTGACGGCCAAAGTGTGCTGCTGCTTGCCAAGCCTATCACCAATTCCTCGTGACAAGTGTTTCCATCTTCGGGAGTTCAGCAAGAAAGGCAGAGGCCCAGTAGAAAGCCAGGGAACACAATTGGATGTGAAGCGTTGCGAGGGTAAACGTGTGGCACAGGAATGGTACCTTGTACCATGTTTGCATAGGCTAGTCGTGTCAGACTTTGATTCTTTCCTGATGTTTCCTGTATACTGTTCCATCCTGCATCACTGCCGGTTGCAAGTTCAGGAGCGAAGAGGCTACCACCTTGCCACGACCTCCCAAACTGGGCATTTATGCACCTTTGGATCGTGATGCCGTGATGCCTTTGGACATGACCCCTGAAGAGATGGAGAGCATTCAGCACACAGAGCTCGCCTACAACGTCATGCGCGATCTGTGCCAAAAAGATCGGCTTTGCATTTACCAGGTTCCCCGGCTTCTGCAAGAGGCTAGGAGTAACTTCTTAAGGCTTGTTTTTTGCGCTTTCTCACTGAGCTGGTCATGTTGTCCACATCCTGGCAGGACGTTGAATCTCTTGTGTTTTGTGGTTGTTCTGCAAGCTGACTTATGTAGATCAGACATGGTTGTCATGGCTTGAGAATGCAATGCTTTCTTCATGTTCTCCTGTTGGGTGGGCTAACAGACTTGCCAGATCAGTGCCAACGATGATGCTTTCTTGTGACGTGTTGGAAGATGCCCCCAAGAAGGCCTTGAAGTGAAGTGAAAGCACTGCAGCTATCCTGAAGCTCATGCTCATGACGTGACGCATGTGTAGCCCGTCGGGCCGTGTCGGCCATGGAAGGGAATGATGGCTTGTGGCTTGTGGTCGCAAGAGAAGGACCTTGACTCTCGCGTGACAGTGTCGTAGATGCGTCTGTTGAGTCGGCGTCCTGTGGTTTCCTATCATATGCACTGGATACTGGGGGCCATTCTGTCTGGGATGGTGGCTTACAGGGCAGGCCGTCTCAAAGTCAACTCGTTTGCTTACATGCATCCCAGTGCATTCTGCGACAGTGTGGCGATCTAATCTTCTGGGTAGCAGCGATGGGAATGATGTGCTGTATTTATTGTTGTGTGTCTTAGCGGATAGTTTCCGTGGCAGGCTGTTGTTGTGGTAGACCTGGAGTTTGCAGTCGTGCCGTGAACTTCTTCGGGTTTTGGGTAGTTGATGCCTGTTTTACAGTTCCTGAAGGCGCACTTGGAGATCGAGTTGTCGCACTTTGTATAGTAAAAAAGTATAGGCATCTAAAAAACCTTGGCAATGCACGCATTCTTGACATTGCATGGGGCCTGCCCAAGGTGTTGCAGTTTGAGGACTGGATGAAAGAAGAAAAGACCAGCCTGCAGAAATGCCTCCCTAGCAGAGAGAGGATATTGCGGATGGCAGCTTACAATCGAATCGTGCGGTCCTTCAGATCGAGCCACTTCAATGAGGAGTTGCAAGCTCACAAAATCTGGAGAATCACGAATCTCGCAGAATACTACGATCCACCAGGATCAGGTCAGGTGCCAGACTACGAGGGTCAATTCTCCATGTTTGCATTACCGGTTGGCTCCGAAGCCAGGGAGTCTGAACAGCCTGATGCCCTGGAGAGTCGGGATGTTGATGATTCGCAGAAGCCGGACCAGCAGTCCGCAGCCATGGGTGCTGGTCACCACAGCGGTTCCGCTATCCTTGCTGAAGGTGCTGACGTACTGGATCAGGAAGCGGCTGCTCAAGACAGAGAGGCGTCCGAAGGGGTTGGACTGCTGGAAGGAATTTGCGTAGTCTGCATCGAGAAATCCGCCCTCTTCGTCATGCATGAATGTGGGCATTTAATATTTTGCCCGGGCTGCCGGCGCAAGGCAGTCGCCAAAGCCTTGAAAGAATCCGGCAAGAGTCAATGGAAATCAGTGAAGCCAGGACAGTTGTCGAACAAGGAGTTGGAGCGGACAAAGGTGCGGTGCCCTATTTGTCGTGAGGAGAGTGTTGCGGTCGCACAGAAAAAGTTCAGCGGCAAAGTGTACACATGAAGATGGTGTCTTCGAAGCTCACGTTGGCTGAGTCTCTCCAGCACTCCTTTTTGAATGACATGTGAGATTTGAGTGGTGTATCTCGTTTGAATGTTTCACCAAGCAGTTCCGACTGCAATCATTGTTGGCCCGGAGCCAGTTCATGATGCGTGAACAGAAAGGACGTGTCCTTGCCTTCCGATCCAGTCACTTGATTTGCCGGTGGTGTTCGCATGTTGGGACGGTCCTCTTGACTGGCAGGCGACAAGTTTCGCCGACTCTGTTGCGGTCTCAGTTCATCCACTGAACATGTTTGGTTGCATTGCGACCCGTTCCGTCCAAATCCAGACGCCGCATCCGTGCACCGACTCAGTTAAGGCGTCTTCGATTTCTGAGAGTGGCGGCAGCACCTGGCCGGGCAGACTGGTCTACGGTCTACCCAGAGTCTACCCTAAAGTTGCACCGAGTCTGTCGTGGCTTGAGCTCGCAAAGGGCATGGCAAGCTTGCCTGCCCAGTGGATGGTGGAAAATGCCACGCCTCTCCTGAAGCACCTTGAACTTTTGGCACTGACCTGCTGGCGGTGGATGTAACGGCAGATGTTTCGAGGCCTTGCAGAGCCAGAGCTTCCGGAACGGATGCTGCTTTTGTGCCGGCCTTTTCGTGATTTGATGTCGAGTTTCCAGTCTCAGATCTCAGGCCTGGCTCCTTCAATCCAGTGCACGAGGGCCATGAGGACTCAGAAAGGTTGTGGTGCACAGCGCAGCAGATCGCGGTGCACCTCATATGTCGTAGGGTTGAACAAGGCCCGAGCAGGGCGCAGGATTTCGGCAGGAAGGAATGCTTGGGGGCGGTTGCACCAAGATTTCTGAATGCAAGTCCGAGTCCCTTTAGTTTAGTGAAGGGAGTTCGCATGCAATGGTTCGGCCATATCACACCCACAAGCCTATGGATTTTTGTGAAGCCTGTCGTCGGATGTTACCCTCGTGTCACTTTCCGGCCAGCGCCAGTTCCGTCTCAAGTGTGCTCCGCCCTGTAGAGGGCAAACACTGACGATTGCTGTGTGACTGGCTGCTGCATGTGAGACCTCTATCCACTTGGTGCCGACAATCTTTTCGTTCCAACCACGGCGATGAATGTACGGTGAATCATCACGTCGAACCGTGCCTTCAAGCTTAAAGCGTGGAATAAGGCAGCCGTGTAGCAAAAGCAGCCCCGAAATAGTAACGCAAAGCAGCTGGTTGCTGTAACAGGCTGTCCCCTGTCCCCTTGTAACAGGAACTGCGGCCCCAAGGCCTTGCTCGGTCCCCCACTTAGAGGCATCCAGACTACTCTTCCAGCATGCCTGCCTCCAGACCCAACATCTTCAACCGACACCAAGACACGGCAACCCCCAAACAAAAACACTTGCGAAAACCAGTTTCCGAGTTTAGGGCTTAGGGTTTGCCATATATGCACCAACCGCATCAGACGCATTCGACCTGGAAGAACTTCCGGCTGATGTGGTCGGCACTCCCCGACCTAGCTCGCGAGTTTAGGTTGTCTAGCTCGCCTTGCAATGGCCCTTCGCTTTCGCTGCTGGCTCTCTGCGCTATCGGGCTCTTTTGGATTGGGTGCTGCTGTGGCGTGTTTTTCTCCTGCTTGCTTGCAGCAGGCGATTCTGTGCCCAGGTGGTTCGCTCGGGAGCTTCTTGAAGGTCCCATTGTGTCAGAAGCTGCTTTCACAGATGGGCGCATACCCTCGAAGTCCAGCAAGCCTCACATTCAGCGCTTGAGTATCGGAGTCAGTGAATGGGTGACAGGGCGACTGAGAGTGAGATCGAGGAACCTGAGTTTGCTTTCCAGGGTCTGTCCATCAACGTTCGCCGCCGAGCAAGGTTTGATTCCGTTGATCCAGCTGCCTTGGTTTCTACATCGCCCAGACTTGCCAGAGTAACCCCTTGCTGGGGCTTCGAGCCCAGCTTCAGCGGGAGCCTCTGTTGCTTGGGAGGACTTGCTCTTGGAACTCGATACACCTCCGAGGGCCGATCTGAGATCGCACGCAGATTTTGCTCAGAAGTTGACAGGGGCAGGCGGAACTTGGTCCGCGCGCGCGCGAGTTGCACGCACAGTTCGTGCTGGCATTGCTGCCTCTCACATGCTCAGTGGTGCCATCTCCGCTGTGCCTTCCTTTCCGGCGGTGGGCCTGGCGAATCGGATCTGTATCTGCTTGCGCTGTCGCAGCCGACCCCAAGGGTTTGTCAGCACCAGTTTCAGAGTCTATTCATTTGCTGGTGCAGGGACGAGCTGGTCAGACATTCGACCCAACTCCGTCAGTTGTGGTTTCGGGCACCTATGGCGGGGACCCGGCCCTCGAAGGCCGGCCGCTTCCAGTGCTTTACTTGTTGGGCGAGGGTGACAGTTGCGCTACCGGTTCAATGGACTTATGGTGCTATTGCCCAATGTTCCCGAGGTTGTGTCGCGGACCCAGGTGACCACAGGAGAATCCGAGGAAGCCAAGGAAGCCACGTTGGAGGTGGTGTCTTTGTTCAAGGAGGTCGACGTGTACACCGAGACTGCACGACGCTGAGCCACTGGAGTCACTCCAGTTTGCGATTGGGCATTCATTGACAGCCGGTCACCCGACCAAGGAGGTCGCCGAGACGATCCAAAGCCATCGCAGACAAGCCTCCAAGCGGATCGTGAGCGAGATGCTTCAGCCGAGTCTCGCACAGCAGTCCGCTTGTGCTGAGCACAGCATGACTAGGGCCAAATGCCCAGAGGGCAAGCCTGCTAAGTCAGCACAGCCCTTGCGTGCCCGCAGTTTGGCCTTTGCGGCCGGGCCTTTCTCGGTTGGTGCCCAGGCGTTATCAAGCAACGTATCGCAGGATGTGCCCGCATCGCTTCCCCTGCTGCCACGGCCCTCTGAAGAGTTTTGCCACCGGTTGCCCGATAAGCCTCTCGACTTCCAGTCGTGGTTGCATAGTTGCATAGTTGTTTAAGTATCTCGGGATCCGCTAGGGTTGGGTTTGTTCCCTTGGTTTGCTCCGCCAGCCAGACGCCGGCAATGCCAATGCCCTCACAGACTTGTGCATGCCATGCTTCAGCGTGTGATTGCCGCCTTGAGCTGGTTGTCTTTGGATGGTCCTTTGGAGTGCCACATAAAACATTTCGTGTGTGCACCGCCGCTTGAAGCCTCTTTTGTTTTGGTAGAGCCGAGGAACGCTTTAGTCAGCTGCTTCATCTTGCGCAGGAACTGCCTCGAGACCCCAACCTGGCCTGAGGTGTGGACCTCCATGAGTTAGTTTCTGCGTTGCATCAGGAGTTTGATCCCTATGGTGTAGGAGTCATAGAGGCCCCTTTATAAAAAGGCCCAACCGCATTCCCAAATCTCGTCAAATCCAAGCTGAACGGTGGGGCCCCGCTGTTGGACTTCAAAGGGGACGGCGGGGAACCAGCGTCGTGCATTTCAGCATGTTCGTTGGGTACTTCAATCGTCGTGAAGCCTGAGCATCATAGTGGATCTGAACATTCTCGTAGGCTTCCTCCCGATGCTAGATTAGGTCAGTGTAATGCCACGGCAGCGGTACAAGGAAGTGCAAGCGGATCGTATTCGTTGGGAACATCCTCGCCCTGTCGATGCTGCTACCCCCTTGATCCTGTTGTCAACCCTAGCATGTTGAGGAAGCTCGCGTATGATTATCTGCTTGGCCCAAGATGCGCACCGCTAATGTTCCTCGTTCACGAGCTGGGTGGCTTAAACTTGCAGCCAGATGGGATGCGGTTGGTGCTTCAGCTCTCACCCCTTGTGCTGAAGTCAATGAGCAGGAAGCTGTGGGCATTTTTTGCCATCGCTAAAGATAGGGATTGGGATCGTTTAAGCATCAACCCTACGGTCATCAATGGTCTTAGCCGGGCTTATAGCAACTTCACTAAGAGACTTCACTAACTATTTCCTGCCACGGAGTCTGATTGGCCTCACACACGTCCGCGATGGCGAGTTCTTCCGTGTGTCTGCTTTTCTGAAATGTATTATGCATTCCGGGTCCCGCCTCATCGTGCTGCAATAGGCTGCAATGAATGCCATCAGAATGCGATTTTGCACCTTGGGAGGTTTCGGATTTCAGATATTTCCGCACGAAAAGGGTTTCGGTGCCGGTTTACCTGTGACTCTCCGCTTTAGCCATGGGCGACGCCCTTGCGGTGGAAATCGCGCAGCAGGCGCATTATAAAGTATTACCGTCTCTTGCCGGAGCTATGCGAGTGTCAGAAGTTGCTTATCGGATGCAATATCCGCGTAGTTTCTCGCTTGAAGGTACTTGGTTTGCGGGCCACGGGGCCGCTGCTCTTTCCTTGGACCTCTCGGCCGGCCTCTGCCCGTGTCAGCTCAGTTTGCCTGTGTGTCGCGTTTGAATGTCCTTGAGCCTCACCCCAGCGTGACTAACCAAGGAGGAGTTCGAGCTGTACGCTTTCCGTGACGATCGGCGAGCTGGCAGACTGTCTGGAGTGCAAGGAGATTGTGTGCTACGGGTTCGTTCGGCAGGGCCACACGACTTGGCTGAACGTGTTTTGCCTGCGACACCGCCGCGCTAGATCCCTTGGATTGATCGATAGTTGGGTTCTGCTAGGGGCCGCGGCTAGAGATAGGTCGAGTATAGCCCAGCTTTGGGCCATCTCACTTCCGTACGTGCTGGGAGGCGGGTTGTACCCGGGCGGCTTGCGCGTTTACTCGGAAGCCAGTCGTAGCGACGGCCCTGCCCGTGGTTGTGCTGCGGCGCCGACGTCCAAGGCTTGGCCTCAGTGGCGCAGACATGTTTGATGTGTGTTTGGCAGCTGCTCGCGTGCCTAACCTTGCAGGCCGCTGGTTAAGACTGCTCTTGCTGCTAGGTGGCGACATCGAGCACAATGCTGGGCGGCCTCAGCTAGTTCCGCGTGGACCCCTCGACTTGACGTCCGGCTTCGCTTCGTCCACTCCGCACAAGATGTCGAAAGAGTCTTGAGGCTTTCAAGCTGTGGGCTGTGGTTAGGGAGCCACTTGGAGCTATACCCTTTGAATCCTCTGACGGCCCAATGGCGTTTGCCGAATCCGCTGCAACGGCACGGTGCGCGTTTGGCCTTCACTAGTTTGCCGAGGCTCATCCGCGGTACCTGCTAGTGTATGCCATCACGGCCACACAACCGCAATCACCTTACCCCTGCATGGCAGGTCGACAAGAAGTGGCAGCATGTGGAGCCGGGTGAATGCAGGCCAGTGATTTCGATGCCGATTTTCCAAGCTTCGGTTGCCATAGGTTTCCTTTTGGGTTGGCTCGATTGGGTTGCTGTGACCTTGGTCAGTTCATCCGAGCTTGTGTGGTTGCAACGAAGTGACTTCGTCCTTCCAGTCGACATGATGCCTTCGGATCTTCTTGCGTGCGTTCATTTTAGGAACCCCAGATTCGCTCGCAGGCAGCATTCTCGTCTCGCGGATGCTTTCACTTTGCGTTATCTTGATGAAAATCTCAGCTTGCAGGAGCGATTCTTTAGAGGGTCACTTAGTACCTACCGTAACCAATGGAATGCCGTCATACACAGGCGCAGCGCGGTGCAACACCTGGGTTTTGCGTGGCAGCGGTGCCACTTACCTTTACGTGGAAACAGAAGATGTGCAACTTGTTGCTTGGAGGGGTCGAAGGAGTAATTTCAAGACCGTTGCATTTGCCTCCACCAGGTTGCGGCTCAGCTTCTCCTTCCTGCAGCTTCGCGACCGTATCGGCGC